CAGAGTAAATTATGTTTATTATTCCAGATAAATTGCTAGATGCTTAAAAATTATCATCCAGATTGACAAGTAGGGTGTATACAGAACCCAAATTGTTCTTATATTTGATTGATTGATTGATTGATTGATTGGGGAATTTAGTATCTTCGACGTGGTCTCTGTGCTTCACACCAGTGGGATTCAGTGCGCACGCGCTGGATCGATCGATGCTGTAGCAAGCTCTTTTAACGGATTTTCACGCCTAGTCCCTCGGGCATGCGTAGGAACCCCACCGCGCATGCCCAGAGGAGTGGGCGCAGACATCCCGCCAGTTCCTTTCTTATCGCCGCGTTGGAAAGCCCTCTTTCTTCGTCGGTCTGATCGGTTCGCTTTTGCCTCACAGCTCTAGCTCTTAGGAATTATTTCCATACTCTGTTTTTCTGTTTTAGTGTTTTGCTCTTCAAAAAACTTTTTCAAAAACAACCTTTATTTTCTTCTGAGGGGAATTTACCTCAGGCCTTCAGGCTACCCCCCCCTCTTTATGGAGAAGAAGTGGAGCTTTTTCAATAGATGTAAACGTTGTGGTAGCAAACTTGCTCCTCCCAACCGTCATACCCTCTGCATGTTTTGCCTTGGAGAGTCTCGTAAGCCAGAGTCCTGTCGTCATTGTGCTTGTTTCTCAAACCAAATGAGGAAGAACCGCGCTGCGCGTCTTAAAGTAGTGCTGCTTGAATCGGCCCTTGCTCCTGCCTCAGCGATGGAGGAGAGACCGTCTACATCGACAGCTCCGGCATCGAGAGCTGCCTCCGATGTCGACCGTCCGACACCGAAGCTCCTGACATCGAAGGCACGATCGTCCGCCTCCATGCCAGTCAAAAAGAAGGCTAAGGCAAGTACAGAGTATAAGTCCGCTAAGAAGGGCACCTCCAAGTTCCCCGCGAAGAAGGGGAAGGAAGCGGTGCCTGCACTGGGTGATGCCCCTATAGTACCTCCCACTCCAACGGCAGTATTGATATCGGAGGCCCAAGTCTCTCCACCGATACCGACCATCCACATATTGGACTCTCCTGTCCACCAAATGGAGCCTCCTTACTCCGACATCGAAACGGTAGAGCTCCTAAGTCATCCAATAGATGCAGAGTGTTCTCCGTCTCCTTCTCTGTCGTCGCCATCGACGGTATCGGAACCTCCCGACATCAATCCACGTCGGCACCGATATACTTCATGTGATACGGACCATTCTCAAAGACAAGCTACTGCCTTGTCTCCCAGACGTCCACGGTTCGGAAGCTGCTCCCCCAGAGTCTTCCTACCTCCCCCCCCACCAATGTGGGATCAACGACAGTTGAGGTTCCTCTACAGGGCTTATCCACCGTCCATGCTGTGGTTGACTCCAGCGGGCTATTCTGATTGGGATCGCTACTTGACCCACTCCGTTCATAGGTCGAGATCCCCACACAAGTCGAGACCTTCAGCATCTCTGTCACGTCCTCCTATAGTCGATCCATCCCATCATACTCTGGAACTGGGTCGTCCTCTCAATCCTCTCGTCACTCCAAACCCTGTCGTTCCTGTTGTCCAAACGAAACCGGTACCTTCTCAACAGGACACTTCACTCCGGGCCCTGCGGGATTTGATGCAGTTCCGCAGGGCCTGTAAGACAAAGCTCTTCCACCAGGCTTTCGAGTAGGGGCCGCTGCCCCCCCCTATTGTGTTACCATCTTGGGGGGGATTGGAAGAGGCCCAGAGAAAGGCCCTGAGAAGATCTGGAACTTCGTGACGCTATAGACTGTCTCCTAGGTACTGTTCGGAACTGTCCCGCCATCTTGGGTTTTGAAGTCAGTTATCACCGAGCACTTTATGTGATATAGGATGGGTTTTAAATTGTATATAATGTTTTTATAATGCAGATATACTGTTATTTTTGTATTGTTGTTTATATCTTGCCCTGTAAGCCGCCCTGAGCCCTACGGGGGAGGGCGGGGTACAGATTTGAATAATAAATAAAAATAAATAAATTACACTCTTACACTGATCTAGTCAAAAGAATGGCCCAATCTTTAGGTCTCTCTGTCATCCAGCAACATCCGCAGGCGACAGATTCTGTTTACGACATAGTTCAGCTTGATACCTCGTCCACCTTGGCATTGCCCATGTCCTCAGTACTACTGCAGGCAGCAAAATCACCATGGCTAAAACCTTCGTCTGCTCCTGTGTCCGCAAGGCGATTAGATCACATGTACAGAGTCCATGAGTCAGATGCCGAATTTCTCTTCTCTCACCCACAGCCTAACTCAATGGTGATAACATCCTCCTCCAAATCTAAAAGAACACATTCTACTCCTTCGGATAAGGAGGGTAAGAAATTGGATGTCTTCGGCAGGCACTTCTACTCTATGGGAGCGTTAGGAGTCAAGGCCTCTTAACTACCTGGCCTCTATGAACCGATATCAATATACTCTCTGGGAACGGTTCTCAGAACTTCTTACCCACCTCCCAGACAACAAACTTCAGGCGGCTAGAGCCATCCAAAAAGAAGGCATGGTGTTGGCAAAACAACAGCTCAACACTACCAAACATGTCCTCGAAGCATCTTCATGAACAATGGCTTCTGCAATAGCTCTCAGAAGACATTCCTGGCTCCGCAATAGTAACATCCCGTTAGACACTAGGTCTTACGTAGAAGACCTTCCCGTCGATGGCCTGGGTCTCCTTAATGCCATTACTGATTCTACTCTTCAGGAGTTAGATAAGAGTATAAAGGCATCTCGAGCTCTAGGGGTCTCGTCCTCTGCAGGACAACAATACCATCCTCGCACCTGGTCGAGGTCCTGGCAGAGGCGTACCCCAACTCATCAGTCTCCAGACACACGATGGAGACCAAGAACGTCCTCGGGAAGCCAAAAACCTGCTCCGGACAACAAGCTTCCCGCACCAAA